ATGGTAGGCTGAGAAAATCATGATGTCACCAAAATTTCTTCAATAGAAGCTATGAGTCAATTCTTCAAAACACAGAAATTCCACCAACTTAATACAATTTGAAATTAGATATTTTTTATACTTAAATTTTCTTGGTTCAAAATGGATTATGTCTAGAAATAATTTCAGGGAATCAAGCCAGAAAAAAAAGCTGTAAAAATTGACATTGTGTACAAGTTTTCATGTTGAACAATTTTTTTTTTTTCAGGGCAAAGATATTTAAGGTCAGTAATTGTTTTTTATTTATGGTAGATTTCTTGAAGTATGCATTACAAAGGGAAATGTCCCATTTTATTCATTAAAAATTCATATCAATTCTTTAACATAGACATATTCAGTTCTTCCAATTCACTCTCTTCAATGTCTTCTTGCTTCATACATGTTTTTTCATTGACAGAACATTTTTTTAAAAATTAATCATAGATGACTCCTCTTTTGATTGGTGCCCAGTACTCAGACTAAAAAACAAACATTTGTAGCAAAATTTGTACTTCAATGATGAGTCAGTCACAGTTAATTTCCTCTGATTGACTGGAACCCAAAATTAATTAAAGTTTTAGTTATTCCCACTCACTTTAAACACATTTAAGATAACGAGACTAAAAGAATAGAGATGATTTTTTTAAATTTTTTTTTTTAAAAAAATAAAAAAAAGTTTTTCAAGTTTCCTGTGGTGACAAAATTGTGTTTATGCTAAAGATTAAAGCTTAAATAATTAATCAGATAGTGTGCTATAGCTTTGAAATTTGCTGAGAAATAATTTGTTTGGGGTTGTGACACTTTTTTAGCAATAAATTTTTTTCAACCAACAAAATGGTGAACATGTAATACCAATTTTAGTAATTTTGAAACAGATGTGGTAAATAGTTTAACCAATGAGCACTGAGTTTGACCATTGACTATCATTAAACATGTACAAGTGGAAATATATTTATAAATATTTGAATAATTTACAATATTTACATCATTCAGACAGTTGTCCTCATCTTTATTGCCATATTCACAACATTTCACTCCAGGTGATATGTTAGAATTTCGAACTGAACCTTTTATTTAGTCCACCGGAGGAGATTGTTGTAATGTAATTCCATGTGCCATTTTGCATATCTCAGTTTCAGTTAATTCCCTTCAGTAACTCAACTCTCCAAGTTTTTGTTCTCGGTGTTGTAGCCAGGTATTGAACTCACAACTCTTTGGATTAAGTCACTTTTTGGGTTACTTCATCCAACGATTTTATCCGCAGTTTGAAATTCCAATGTATATCACCTTAAGAAGGCTATAGCGTACAACGCTCAAAACGTCACGAATATGGCAATAAAGATGTGGACAGCAGTTCGAATCAAATCAGAAATTAGACAGAAATATAATACAAATAATATTGAATGAAATTGTGATGATGAAATTAGCATAAAAATATTAACATTTTCTAATTTACAGTTAATTTAAAAAATTCTTCTTTTCATTAGAACTAGCAGAGGTTCTTGTTACCTGGAAACTAATTTTGTCTAAATGAAAAGACATTTTACTCGTATAGATTAAATTGATCAAGGGAAGTAACCGCGCATTAGTTCACTAACAAAATTGGTTTTACTTCCCTTACCACTATACTTTTCTGTTCAAATGTAGGATGCGATGGATAAAATGGCGTCTAAATTACGCAAAAATGAAAATAACACTGACGTCTTATTTTAACAGATATATTTACCAAAATTGCACAAAAATATCTTAAAATACTAAAGAGTAAATTTATTCAATAAATCGCCATTGGCTTCAACCACGGCCTCCAGACGAGTTTGGAATCTCCTGCAACTATTCAGGTCGGTCTCCTTGAGTTGGTGAATGCTGCCATTATCCATGCCTTCAGTTCATCTTTGGTGTTACAAAGAGTTTTGTTGGTCTCTCGCTTAACTGCGCCCCACACGTAATAATCAAGGGGATTGTTAGTCTGGGTAGTTAGATGGCCAGATGTAAAGGGTGTTGTGATCATGAAAGGCAAAAAAATTAAGTCAAATAAGCCATTTCTTAGGGAAGTTAAAAATTTTCAGGCTGCAATGGGTAAATTGTCGTCATTTTATATTTTTAATTTTGCGCACATTTTAAAATTTTTCTCTTTTATTTTTTTCTTTTATTCTTTCCTCGCCTTCTCCGTTGACCTCTGGTTTAATATTGTGTTGACCATTTAAATTAGGTTATGATTGGATTTTTGTGTACATGTATGTTTGTGCAGGTGTGTGTTTCTGTGTGTGCCCATGTATGTGCACGCATGTAGGTATGCTTTCATACAAGCATGCACGCACATACTCACCCACACATGTATGTTTTCATATTAGTTATATATATAATGAAAGAGAGAATGTAAAAATCCAGATAAAAATAATGTATATCTGTAAAAAGGTAATGTGAATAACGACCAAAGGAAATCTTTTCTTTACCAATGTGTCTTGTCGCCTGAGGAACTTTTATTTTGTAATATGTATTTATAAACAAAAGTAAAGTAGAGAAAAGAATATTAAATTTCTAAGTGATGTAATATAATGCCAAATAAATAAAAGTGGGTAAATGTTATTGCCGTTGAATGTTATACTTAAAAGATAATAACTTACTTAGACAAAAAGTTGAGAGTGCAACTATTGATTCTTACCAAAATGTTAACTTATGCCTTGGACTTTTCTAAATGCCTCATTTCTTAAAAGAAATACTCTTTTCCCAAGCCAATATACATGACCATAAAAATTTTTAAAGTTAAAAGAAAACCATTAATCGTAATGTCTTCTATTATATAAGATATATAAATACATAGATAATTTATTAAATTAAAATAAATAATAATTACATTAATAAATAAATACATATAAACAAATAAGAAAATAAATATTCAATAATATTTACTCGTATATATATATATATTCTACAATCTACATTCAACATCATCACTTGATAAGACACCAAAGGTATTGAAACAAAATGGCTATTTTGTAGTGATTTTATAACATATTTGTTATAATTTTTAAATAAATAATTATATAGTGTATCAAAAATACTTTTATAAACATTGGGTGCAGGTTCCTGATACCAAAAACAGGTAAAATGTCCATATAAAGATGTCCAAAAGGCCTTATACTATGCTATGTAGACATATGTGATATATTGTTCTTCATGTGGAACATTTATATATATATATATATATATATATATATATATATAAAAAGAAAGAACAGTAAGATATAAAATCCGGTGTTCTTATAGATATTTTTTTTTTATTTTTACAAAATAGTGCTCAATGTAAATTTACAGAGCATTAATATTATAAATTAATTGATTTAAAATATGTTTTTTTTTCGCTACACAGTTCCAACCATGTTTCAAAAATAGAAGCTAAAAACCCCGAATTTAATTTTGCAATTAAATTAAAAGCATTAGTTCCATTTCATTTTCAAGCGAATTTTGGAGTAACTTTTAAAAATTACCGGGTTTTAAAGGCACAGCTAAAATCACGTTTCCATGGTTACAGAATATTCTACTTAAATTGAACAAGGGATGTCTATATTTTCCTTATGTCAGTATCATTGTATCAGTTATTAGCTACAATTTGGTAAGGGGTAGGGATGTATTTTACAATGAAACCTGACATCAGTTGAATGGATGTCGTCTGAATGTTTTTTTTTAAATATATATATATATATATATGGTTTTGTGTATATTGTAGTTTATATAAAAGTCTCTCTCTGAGAACAAATCATGTTTGCCATTCTCTTTTCTCTCAGCCATTTCGTTCCATCCTGTCCATAGGCTACGATGTTGTTATATCACGAGTATAACACTGCCCATGACCGGAGAAACGTAAATAGGGTGAATTAATATTCCTTTTCCTCACTGTCATTAAATTGAATAAGGAGGAACAGAAGGAAAGGTCTTACATATAATTTGAAGATATTCCTGATCTGGAGAAAACTCCAGGTTTATATGGGCTGGATTCATCTATGTCCCAAAGGTAAAAAAAACGGCATCATGTGCTTGTAAGCTAGGGAGGCAGAATTAGTCTCAGCCTGGACCAAAGGCCCAGGCTAGAAAGCAACCAACCTTCTCATTCGGTTGCTCTTAGTATTCACGAACTGAAAATCGACTCCCGCTTTAGTTCACTGTATGGAGTGAAGTCGTGAAGCGGTCATCATGTGACCATGAAACTTATCTTCCGCCAAACAGAGATAAGCGCTTTCTATATTTCTACACTGTCCACAATGAAACGTAGTGTCAAAAGGACGGGTTTTTCCTTGACACCGCTATTATTTTAACTACCTTCACTCCTCGGCCGTGTTTATTCTTTTAAAAAGTGATGGTTATGATAGTGTAGTGACTACTACTACGTTTGCCACGTCTACATTTTTCTCAACTGTGATTGGTTAAATAATAAATACTAATTATCACAGGACAATTTACTGATCGCAGTCACCACACTGAATTTTTCCTACCGTTAATTTCACCAAACATGCTTTTGTTATAAAATCACCGATTGGTTAATTTTTCATCCAATCAGATATTTTTTGTGTTCTTTCAAAATTCCCCCGCCTTTGTTTTTCCTTGATTCAAAAATGTATAAATGTTAAATATGCTCTTCAACACGCAGCCACATTAATCTTTTCAACACAACCAGCATTTACAATACTAATGAAACCTAAACATATTCTGAGAGTGAAATTATACATTTTTTTTTGTTTAAACAATAAACATTGTCGAGGAAGTATAGGCAGTAATATAGGAGAAAAAACGTATTGATGTTAAATTCTTAGAAGTTTTTTTGTGTGTGTGGATGAGGTTGAGACCCCGCGTGTCCTGCATCGCTTAGTAATAATAGAGCACATGGATGAGGTAAGGTTCCCCCACACACGATTTGCAATAAAGACGTTAAGAGTGATCTCCCTTGTCTTCCTCTCGAATTGAAACAACATGGCGTGTCTTTCAAGGTGAACTTTATTTTTGCCAGTTGATTGTGCTTAAAAAGAAGGTAAGACAATAATATATATTTACCTTGTAAACCACATTTTTCTAGATCAATTAAGTTCGCATGTTAGTTACATAGTATAAATTCTAAATATTTTATTTGTGCATTATCGATGAAGTTCATTTTGAAAGAAGTCATCACGGTGAAAAAAACACTTTTTTATTTTTTAAATAATTTAAAAATTAAAAAATGAAAATATTGCTTATTTTACGGCATATAAGAAGAGTAAAACTAAGAGAACGATTTCTAAGGGTTTTTTTAAATTCTAGTTCGAAGTTATTTAATCTTTAGTTTAGAAAATATTCACCTTTTTCTGATATGTCGAGAGATTCCTGACTTTTTTTTCATTTTCAGTTATACAACATAAGGCGATTTTTTTTTTTAATTGTAAACGACTACAAAGATTGTATTTGTTGTTTTAATAATAAATATTAATCTTAAAATTTGAATTATTTTATCTATACTAACAGCTACGATCTTTCCAGAGTCAATATTTTTCTACAGTTGGCTTCTGGTTTCGTCTTTCTGTAGTAACTGAAAAGTGAAAAAGTACCCAAAAAAAATAAATAAATAAAATAAAAATCCCTGGTTCCGACTTAGATTAAGTTTCTTACCCGTCGTCTGTAAAAGAAAGAAAAAAAACGGTTTGGTACTCTGAATAAATTCAAGTTTCATAGTTTTTTTGTCTTAGCCTAGGCCATATAAATGGGGCACCCAGCCAGGATCGAACTCACTTCAGTCCTTGTAGAATTTTAAAAAAAAACATTGCCCTTAGGGGAACTACAAAAAAATTAAATACACCACAACCATCTTATTCTTATTTTAGGGTTTTTATCACAACCCACTAAATCATTGTATTAATTTTTAAGAAGAGTAATAATGTCATTTTTTCTGGATACTAACACAGATTTCCAAAAACCCACAAAAAAAAAAGTGTTGTGATGAACCCAACTTCCCCATTCACGATAATTGACGGACTGGTTGCCGATAAAGTATGACCACAGCGAACAGTAAAAGAAAAAAGGTCTTCGTTTGTTAACACCTATTGCGGTTAGCTTACTCCTGACTCTGTCTCTGTATTTTGACATACCTACATCCGATTATAAAATTATTATTGAAAAACCAACACTCGGGTTTACTTTGTTTATTATATCTTGCACGAGATATAACAAAAAGTATTTTAAATATTTTTTTAAATGGCTTTTTAACTCAAATTTCTGTTTTACAAAAATGAATTTCTTGATTTCATAAAACACACACACACACACACACACACATTGTAAGCCGGATATAAGAGAGATTTTCTCTGGTCCCAAATTAGAGCCTGTGTTAATGTATATAAAATATACCAAACCCGGATATAAGAGACTTCTTCTCCAGTCCCGTAACTCTCTTATATCCGGGTTACACTGTACATATAACACACACCAAGATTTCTAAAAACAAAATGTTCTTAGAATAATTTAATTCATTTGTGAATAATTCCTGAAAGTTTTATTAAAATCTGACAATTTATGTAATTTTATAATGAAAAAATCCTTTAGTCATTTCTTTTAATAATAACAAAGATTTTGATGATGAAACTTAAGTTTTGGGTATTTTTTCACCATGGTATGCTTTGTTTTTTATTGATTCTTTGGGGCTACCTCCTCTTAATCAAATATTTATTCTAGAGTTATGTTTTGAAGTTATTTTAATTTAAGGATAAATTATCTGGATTTTGTTTGTTTTTTAACACTTAATGAAAATAATTTATATTTATGCACAGTAGCCTGTAGGGTCAGAGGTCAAAAATAAAAAAGTAATGAACACCAGCAGTGCAATAATCAAGATGTTGGTATTTGTCTAAAAAATAAATTATCTTTAACCTTATATAAGTTATTTATTTCTTTGCAAATTGCTTGAATTTGTTTTGATTGAAAATCATCAAATTGTCTTTCAGCCCCCCCTTTTTTTTTAAAATTTAGCAAAGAAGCAAAATGATAAAGTCTGAAAACCTAGAGATGGCAATAAAACTTTTTGTTGCTTGCTTTAGTAAAATATTCCCAACCGAACTGAAAGACCTCTTCAGTTTTCTCTTCCTGAATGCCATCCCTTCACAGTCAAGGATTTTGGTTACATTTTCAGCAGCAAAAGTTCAGCTCATTAGAAACAGTATTATATATTCTCTTCACAACTTTAACAACAGAAACATTAACTTATCTAATTTAAAGTGGGCTGGTGAAATTTTACTGACAGACAGAATAGGCTTATGATTTGTATGTGTACTCTTTATTCATGACAGTCATTTGCAATTTTGTAAATAAACAGATACTAATAAAATCAGAAAGTGTGCAATTGTTTAACAGTTAATAGCACAGAATTGATTTTTTTTTATGGCTTATGCATTGTGCATTATTAAAAGCTGAAACATTTTTTGGCTGTGAGAATTCTTTTTTTTTTATATAATAATGATTTTTCTAGATGAAAGTTCCACTATTTAACCCATAGCTGGGGGAGGAACAGAACTGGAATTCAAACTTAGCTCTCTGATTTCTCATTCCATGTTGTTATCCATTATACCACCCACATTTGTTAATAGCACAGAAAATGGAATTTGCTATCAGTTCAAAACCTGACTCAGGCAGCTTGTATTCATTTTCTTCTGATGCATTTAGCAAAGGCATGAATCTTAATTTTTTTGTTTTTCATCCCTTCAGTCTTGGTTAAAATACCAGGGGTGAATTGAGCATCTTCCCACATCGTGATGATCAGGTATTCTGTCAGGGAAGCTAGCTTCATACGTTGAATGCCTATTGGGACTTAAGCTCAACCCAGACCTCAAGTGGGACTCGTCCATTACTAAAGATACTGGAAAAAGGGTTGGTTCCCTGTCCACCTTCAATAAGTACCTGGCTCCTCCTGTTATCCTTTACCTTTTTAAGAGCTGGATCAGGCTGAAAATGGAGTATTGCTTTTGAGTCTTGATAGTCAAAAAGTGTTACTGCATCCTTCTTCAGATGAACTACATTCTTTATTTCCACCAGTCCTAACCTTCATGGCTAAGACCTGCCATGACATGCACATTGTCGTGAATTACCCTCATTCATTTCATATTCCATTGGTGACATGTAAGTTTCACTCAAGTTGCTTCTTCCTCTCACAAACTGCTGCTTTGTGAAACCAATACCCAAAAGGATGCTTCTTTGATCACTATAATCTTAACCTGTTCAAGTCTAGGCTTAACTGTTATCATCCACATGTATCTCTATGAGCTATGCCGCTTACTCTGTAACCGCTAACTTGAGCGGCTCTTGGGCCGTATACAGTGAATATTATTGTAATAAAAAAAAAAAATAGCAAGAAAAAACATGACACCTTTTGGAAGTGTGTGGGGAGGACTTAACAAAATCAACCATGAGGTTTTCTTTTTGTTTTTTGTCTATTTCTTAAATATTAATTACTTCTAAGGATCCATTTTTTTTTTCTTTGACTTCTTTTGTCTTTCCACATTTGAGAAAGGTTTTTTTTCTTTGTCTTTGCAGGTGCCATGGCTTCCCAGTATGCTCAAAGGATGTCTCGTTTGGCCAATCGTATATTTGGACAAGTTGCCAGGACAACTAGCCAGAAATCAATGAAAGTTGTGCGACTTTTCAGTGAACGCCCATACAATATGGACCCCCACGTAGTGGAGTATTATCCGCCTATCAGAGAAATTAATTCCCTGATGTTAAGACTCAGGGCTCATGGTCTCTTCAGGTTACTATTATTTTTTCTTTCTTGCTTTCATGATAAATTTGTTTTTATTTAATCCCATTGTTCACCAAATACAAGGCCCAAGAGCCACTCAAGTTAGTGGGTTATTGAATGAGGTTGTTTCAAGAGGAGGAAGTAAAAGCAGATTATGAGGCTAGATAACAGTTGACCCTAGACTTGAATAGGTTAAGATTGTAGTAATCAGAGAAGCATCCTCTTGGGAGTCAGTTCAACACAATGAAAGTTATTGAAACTTTTTTAGTGTAATAACTTCTTTAATAATAAGTTATATATTTTCTTTATTAAGACTTGAAGATAAAATATATATATAAAAAAAAAAAAATACCAAGACATTTGTAAATGGCTGTCAAAACAGTGAGAGGGATAGGAAAAGAAAAACACTGCTAAGAGCTACAAAGGTTAGAAAGTCATGGAGAGCCATGACCACCTATGTCCTGAATATATACAGCACACATAGAAGACCAAGACATTGATAAATGACTGTTGTGACACTATTTAGCTATGGTAATTTGCTAACTAATTAACCATAGAAATTAAAAACAGGAAAGACTTAAGGCAAAAAAGAGCCATCTCGAAAGATGGCCTGATCGACGTTCAAAGAAAGATTTTATTTTATTTACGAAAAAGATACTTTTCACAAAAGACAGTAAACCCATGGAAAAAGCCATGTGTGGGGTTCACTCAAATTGATTAATATCATTGTGAGGGAATGCCTTGTCAAGGGAAACAGAATTCAGAAAGAAAAACAATGCATTAAAGATATTGGGCCGACACATGGCGGTCATAAAAAAATTTCTTTTATAAACAATTCTTTAAAAATTCATTATGTATTGGAATTTTTTTTTTTCTTAAGACAGTAGTATTCTTAATAAATTTTATTTATAAAAGAAATTAACTGCATCTCTAATTAAATAATGTCATAGTTTTATTGCATTTTTTATTTTATGATTTGGAGCAGATTTTTTGTAATGAGTAACTGTTTGAAAAAAAAAAAAAATATGATTCTAAGAAATTATGTAGGATGTGCATATTTCTGTTTCCTCTAATGTTCAGGGGATCAATTTAGTTAGTGTTTTACCATTAGTGAAATTTCCTTTTAATTACATCTCTTCCTTTTCAACTGATTAAAAACAAGCATGTTGAAGGATATTTAGTATGATGGATCAGTTGCTACCGACAAACATCACTGCTACTTTGTTACAATAATTCTTTTTCACTACTTGTGATAGTAGTCACTGTCCTGATGGGCTTTCCTCTTTGGTACCTAGACTTTACTCGATTGGCAGCTAGGTCTCATCATTTTACAGTTGAAATGGTTAGCTGTAATCGTAAGTTCTATGCTAACAGTTTCTATTTTCTCACTCCTCACTTATGAAACTCCTGGCTTCTTGCTTCCTAATCAACTTTCATCTTTAAAAAAATTTTATGCAATGTCTTTAGTTATTGTCTTAATTCCTGTTTTTGTAGTATTTATTTTTTCCTAATATTTTCATGCTCAGTAACTTTATTGTCTTGCTTAGCGTGAAATGATAATTGACAGTAATAAAATTTAATGATAAAACATATTCATAGTGTGTTGTGCTTAATCTACAGTAATATGAAAAAAACAGTCTGGAAAAAAAAAATAGTTTTAGGTTAGAGCGTATATTGTAAGACTTCCGTTAAATCAAAAAAAAAAAAAACCAAACAACCCAAAATGTGTATAAAATCTTTGTCTTTTCCTTTAGGGATGAACATTTGGATTTCAAGGAAGAAATGAAACGGCTGAGGATCCTTCGAGGAAAAGTGAAACCCAAAAAAGGCGAAGGCAAACGAGCCATGAAGAAAAAATAAACTTGATTTTCTCTTTTAGAAAAACTGCAGAATTTTTTTTTTCTTTTTGCATTAAATTCATTATATATATATATTTATATATATATATATATAAATAAAAACCATCCACATTAAAATTTATATTTAATATCATTTTTCTGCAACTTATTTCTTATTTTTATTTTCACTTTAAATAAATGGATGTAAATTTCAGCAACACTAATTTCCACCTGCCCCCTCCCCTCCACAAAAATAAACTAGTCTCAATGATTTTCTATAAATGAATATTTCAACAAAATGCCTTTTGATATTGACTTTATTTTTTTGGATTTAACACTCATTTCATGTTTTTTTTTTGTTTTGTTTTTTTCTTCTCTCTCCAAACTGATACAAGTATTTATGAGGGCTTATGGCTATATCTTGTTGAAACATTGCTTAATTTTGGTGAGTGTACAGGAACCAATGTTGAGCTAGGCCAGTATGTAGAATAACAGGTACTGTAAGTTTTGATGTGTGGGTGGTGTCATGGATAATGGCTTCTAATTATATTCACTTACATGCAAATAGCCTAGGAAAAGGTATAAATCTACCTTCTCCACCTAGCGTTATGGGTTTATTTAATAAGACATCATTATCCCCCCCCCTTCTTACAATGTAGAAATATTTTCTGGCTTTAAATAATCTGCAATATTTTACATCTTTCAAAAGTCTTTTAGTTTTTTCGTATTGCTCTGTCATATTTTATTCATCTTTGAAATCCTTTAATGGCTGACCTTTTCTCATCACTCCAATCAGGCCCACCCTCATCCTGCCTCCACTAGAAAACAGTCTTTGATACAGTCACAGGTGATATCACATATCAGTGAAATATGTTTTATGAGATAATCATTTCTTTTAAGAAACTGGTAGCATTTGGGATGAGTGTCGGCAAAATGACCATTTATTCATTTCGGTTTCCTATTGCTTCCATTGCTCCTAGTTAGATCATTAGCAGGTAAAATGTTATCTAAAATTCTTGGTGAAGCCTTGTCAATCATTTGTGGCTGTACAGGTGGCCTAATGGTTAGCAGCCAAGAACGAGATATTACTGAGCTGAGGTCAAATTCTAGTCACGTTTGTTACATTTACTTTTATGCAAATAACCTTGTATAGGAATGAATCTCTTCTCTTAGCTATGGGTTAAATAGTAGGGTAAACTGGGGTCTTGGTTGGTAACCAGCCTATTATAATGACAATTCAATTTGAAACCAGTTTGGCTTAGGGAATAGCCACTACAATTAATACCTACTTACTACAGAAATCACAGTAGCAACACCTAGTATGGACCCCATACTCCACAGTTTAGAGTGTAAGGGACTTTAGTGTATGAACTGTCAATCATTGCAGTTTTTTCTTTTGTTGTAAGTTTTGTGTTTCATCTTAATTTTGAATAAAATTGACTTGAGAATGCATCATCATCTAATAAAACATGAAATAACTGAACAGAAATAAGTGTCAAAGTTAAATCCAACAACTTGTCAATGTTTTTAACATAAAAAAAGCCAACAAAAACTTTTTTTTTTTTTTTTTTTTTTTTTTCCTTCTGGTTGTAAGAGACAAATTAAAAAGAAAAGTCTTCAATCACCATAATTTTTTATTATTATCGTCAATGCTCATGAAAGGAATATATGTAGACATCAAGACATTTGTCTAAAATGGAATGAATGAGGAGGGTGTGGCAAGGCAGGCAGGTGTTCAGCATATGAGTCATTAAACAATAGATGATGTCCCAAAATGACTTAAGAATTTTTTCATTTTATGGTTGAGTGAATGGGAAGGGTTGAGGAGGGGGGGGAAGGAAGAATATGTATGGATATTTTCAGGCCAAATGCTGAATTGAACAAGGTTTAAAAAAAAGTGCATAGGGTAGGGGGTGTAGAAGTTGATTTCCTGATTCAGACCCCGCCCCCTCCCTTACAACACTGAAAAATTCTTTTGACTGATGAGAAACAATGTCTTTGGATATTAAAGAAAAAAAGTTGAATCAGGTTATTTTCTTCCCCATTAATTTTGTTCTTTTAGAAAAAAAAAAAAAAGAGCAAACTTTCAATAAACAAGAGATATTCAGTGCCATTTTGGTATCATTGGTACAAGACTAACTGCAAAAAAGGAAGCCCCCCCCTCCCTCCGATAATGATGTAAGATCAGAACTTTTCTAATATTAACATAGTTGCAGTTGTCCAGTTTTTACCTCACCATTGTACCATACATGCAAATGCTTATCAGGAAATTGTAAATTGATTGGGCATTTTAGACTTTACAAGACTGACTGCAATGAGTATGGGGTAAAAAGCTCCTGTCTATTGCTACTCTTACTACTCAGCCATTGGGGAGAAAAGTTTCTTTTGAGAGGGAAAATAAATTTTTTTTTTTTTTTTCTTGAATTTTGTTTTTGCTGAGATGTTAACAATTCTCATTGGCTGTTAAAAAATCAGCTTTAATATTACCAACCATTAGAAAAGGAAAAAATAAAATCAATAAATATAAAAGAGCATTGGTTTCTTTAAACTAACATCCAACCTGTAAATGTAACCAAAGTGCATATTTAGCGAATTTCTCTTTTAAATGAACTTTACAAAGAGGAAATAACTACTTTCATGTCATTGCTATAGAATAAATATAAACTGGAGTTGCTTCCCCTGAAAGCTACTGCTTTAAAAATCAGAAAGCCAATAAAAATTTCAATTTTTTTTTTTTTTTTTTTTTTCGAGTTAACTATCACCTTTCCTTGTGTCATCTTAATACAATGTGATAAGTGCATATTTAAATACACTACTTGAAATTTACAAGACTGACCACTAGGATTAGGGGTATAATTTTCCTCTGCAAATAAGACTAAATTTGTGACCACTTACACCATACTATGAATGCAGGCCAATAGTTTTGAGTTGGCTATCTTGGAAATTTGTTTTCTACCTTGTTAACATCTGTTTTCTCTGCTAGGGTATGAAAATATCTGATTTATTTGCTATTGTGGCATTGATAACAACAGGTGAATTTGCCTATCTGGTTCTTCTAGATGGCTCAATAATCTTTTGCATATAGAGATTTGATTAGAATTAGGAAATATAAAATATATACAATTTTTCAACTTTGAAAATAGTAAAAAATAAAGAGACCCCCCCCTCCCCCACTATCAGACTAGTTTGTTGAATATCATTGTATAGCACACACGCCGTCAACGTTTTCAGGAAACGTCAAATAAATAGTCCGATTCCTTCATATTACTAAAATTGCATCAATATTTGTTTTTAATCAATCTGTTCTACATGTACAAGTCTCGTATTTTGAACATTCTTTAAGTTGACCAAGATTTTTGTTCATAAGCTGATTGTTCATTAATTTCAAAGGCTGGGAATAGGTTTATTGCACCAAGGATGGTTGTGTCATGATATATTTCATAATCATAAAATTTTACAAATGCTAATTTCAAAAGAACAAGATTTGTTTTGTTGAAGGCATGGCCAACAGATTTTTTTTTCTTACAATGACAAATTGCAGGGCAAAGTTTAAGAGTGCATGTCATATTGAAAAGAAATCAGCCCAATGTTATTAGATACATTGGGCAAATGATCTGAAAGTTATGTTTACACAATAGAATTAATTAAAATTATGATGTTACAGGACATTAAAAATAGTATTGGTTATAAAACCAAAAAAAAAAAAAAAACAAACTGTTAGTGCATGAATGTATCTCTTGATTAAGTTGCATGTCTAAAACAATGGTTGAACAGAACTCAACCTACAGAAGGAATATAAATGCACACTGAAAATTTTGAGTCATTTGAAGAAGAGTTTAATGGTAGCCTTGAAACTGGAAATGATGTGAATGCAGTTTTTCCTCTTAGAAGAGTCCTGGTTTATATTTGAGCAGCTCTCCTTGCTGCAAACACAACTGGAGAGCAAAAATACTGGAAAAACCCCTGATCAATTGTCTTAAAGTCAACAGGAAGAGTTCACCTGATATTAACAAACATTCTCTCCATCCCATTATTTGTAAGCAGCATTCCTGCCCTGCACAAAAAGTCTATCAGCTGACCTGTGTAGATCTTCAAATCCCAGAATGGGGTCAAAGAACAATGTGGAAGTGATCAGTCTGGAGTGGGACATTTGATCAAAATGTTTTTATCCCAATTTACTAGTTTTTGGGGGTTTTTTTTTTTAAAAAAAAAAAAAAAACCTCAATCCACTGTAAAGGGAGAAGTCTTGAAGTCTGATGATCATTTGATGAAAACCCTTTATTTACATTTACTATTTCTTTCAATCCATGGTAATTTAAAGAGATGACAGGTCAAATGGGCTGTTACCGTATTATGTAACTCTTAACAGATAATTTCACCAAACAGCTAATCTGACCTGGCTATAGAATAAAAGAGGTCAGACTAGAGGGATCTCAACTATAACAATAGAGAGACTGCAATGAAGCCTTTATTAGCACAGAGGCAAGTTATTTGTTTGACATGCAGAAAACACTAACCCTAAGGAGGCACAATTTATTTTTAGGTCTTTGCAGATGTATAGACATAAGAAATATATAAGCACATGTGTGAGGTCTCACCAGTCAATGTTGATTGGCCATCAGCTGTTGGAGAAATGGATTGAGGAGTCATAAAGAAAAAAAAAAAAAAACTTCTTTTTTATAGGGCAATTTTCTGAATTGAAATGGTAGATGTCTGAAACTTGTTGGTTGTTAGGAAAAGTAATTACCTCCAATTCACCTGAAAGTCACCAATCCAATGTTGAATTTGTCTCAGACAAACAGTCAAATGATTGTTATAAGAATTCTTCATTGTTTTAATTCTGAGATCAACACTACTTAGATATTGTAAATCTTAAAAAACATTTAATAGGTTTTTTTTTTTTTTTAAACCTGTTTTTAAGAAATTTTTTTTCTCTCTACAAAAAAAATGTCATCTTTAAATCAGTTGGTTAATCTGATTGTTAGCAATTTAGTTGTTTTCTGATTAACAATACATTAAGAACTGGAATTTAACAATTACAAAATTAAGAGTTTTTAAAACTGCAATTCTTTTTCCAAGACACAACGTAGAGAGCAAACCTTTACCATTGATGATGCAGTAAACATATAAGATCAAATCCTTTCAAAGACAGGATTTATAGTACTATTGCCACTGACCATTTTCCATTTGTTGAAGGAAGGAAGTAAATGTGAGGGAAAACATGGCAGCAAATGGCTTATGGCACCAAAAATATATAAAAGAAACCTGATCACTTTCCAAGATATTCTTGCAAAGAAAATCATGTCATTTTCCAATTTTAATCAGATGATCTTTGTGGAGGTATTTAATAAGCTTAGGTTAGTTTGGCACAAGGCCACCAAGTGTGAGGCAATAAGCAAAGACCACACTCACACAGTAGTATTAGTCTGCTAGACTAGCTTGTTAACCATAACTCCACAGTGATGTGCCAAAGGTTATCTTTGTATAGGAATGGTATTTGGGTACAGTTATATCAATTGATAATAATAATAAGAAATGACTTTGTATTAGATGAAGCTGAAAAATGAAAATAAAGATGAGGATTTTAGTCACAAAGTGCAGGAAAAAAAAGAAGGGAAGTGGGTGTACTGCATAAAAGTTTGTGCCAGTCTGGAATCAGGGGCAAGGCAGTCGTTATCATAATGATGCAGGATGAGTGTTATTGTCATTACAAGTGTCGCACACCCTGACTGGATAGTCCCAGCCTCGAAGAGGGACAGTCCGCTTTCCAGTAGAGCACTTGTCACAGACAACTTTGCCACAATCCCGGCAATGATGCTTCGAGATCTTGGGGCAAAATTCAACATTGCAAACAGCACAGTTTGTGACATTTTCATCGGGAATCCAATAAGCAGGTCGGACACTGTCCTTAATGATACCTGGGGGGAAAAAAAAATAAATGAGATTTCACAGAAATAAACAAGCAAAAAAATTGAGGTTTTAGAAAACAAAAAATATAGAGCAAACTTGGATTTAAAACGTTTTTTGATTGACAACGCTGTTTTTAAATAACTTCACTCCTCAGCAATGTTTATAGTTTTAAAAAGTGATGATTAGAATTGTAATAAAACTTAAACATATGATGAAAGTGAATTAATATATTTTCATTGTTCTTGAGAATTTACAACAAAAATATTAAACACTATTTCTTAGATTGTTTATTTTCAAGAATAATTTTACATCTAAAGCATTCGAAAAACTAAGACAATTGTATTAAGACTAATGCAATGCAATATTTATCATTTACCAATTTATAAATAAATATGAAAACAATTTTTTTTATTCATAAATTTATAATCATTTACTAATATGCGAACTAATGCTAAGGAAATCCTTATTTACATTTCACAAAGTTCGAATTTTGCCAACAATTCCAATAAATAAATAAATGATGCTTAATATTTTTGTTTTCTCAAGAACAAAGAAAATGTATAAATTCAATTTCACGTTTAGATTTTGTTAAAATTCTAATCATCACTTTTTAAAAACATTACTGAGGAGTGAAGGTAGTTAAAATAATAGCAGTGTCAAGGGAAAAACCATCCTTTTGACACTGTTCTTTTTTTGTGGACATGAAGGGTCCAAGATTGCAAAAAAAAAAAAAAAAAATTGATAGAGATTTTTTAATCGAGAAAATTTAAGATCTTAATTTTTATTTTTTTGATTTTAAAGGACATTTTTGTCTCCATTTTGCCAAAGAATTCCAGATTGGATGAAAGTCTTCTAAGAACATTTTCTAGAACTTTCTAAACAATTCATTTGAACAAAGTTCTGTTAACAATTAAACCAAGTGAAGGCAGACATCAAAGAAAAATGACTGGTATTATCTTTATTTTAATATACTTATTTTATATTTGATGAAACATTGTTAACGATTATTAATTTTTGACTAGACTTTACTAATATTTTAATTTTTTTTAATTGCTTTTGCTCAGGTCATCAATCTTTGGAGTAAATGGCACAGAATTGGGAAGTAATGCTTCTGCTCTCAATGAAACATTAACCTACGACCTTTTCATTTCTGGAAAGCATGATAAATTTATGGGCAACCTTTAACTGCTAAGCTACAAGAATATGACTGGCTTATCAATAGGAAAAATGTTTAAATCTAATCTTTAAACTCATCAGTGCATTAAGCTTTTATCAGCATTATGCTGTATGAAATGAAAGACAGCATCACTTGAAGACTTTCAACAGCAACTAACATGGATATTTACATGAAACCCAAAAAGAAAATACTCGCATAATCAAGATGTTGATGTTCCACAAAACTTCAAACAAAAGGTTAGGTAGGAAACCTCTCTCCCATCAATACTGAAAAGAGCAATAATAGTTACTGGACCCAAGAAAGCTATTTTCCTGTAAAATTGTTTTAAGGAGAAAGATTTCAACCAAAAGTAGCACTGGCTGCTTGTTCAATGAATGTTGAATCTTTCCTTATAAGGAAATGGCTCTTTTGTTTTTGGTCAGTTAATATAGCCATCTTTTTGGAGTAGATTCTTTTTTAAATTTTTAGCTAAACACTTTCACTGCTGCATTGTTATAGCCTTGTTGCCTGGCTGTACACTGGCGTGTTTGGTTGGGGGGGGGGGAATAGGAAATTGCCATTTACTGGAAATAAATGGCTACAAAAACACTGAGGGCAATTTCTCACAAGTGCCGGCATATTGGTTTTGAGGAGATACTCTGTAGTACAGACTAAACTAAATGATATTACCAACACGTGATATAAGAATAATAATAAAAAGATACAAAATAGGTTGTATTTTATGCTATGGGAAATAACACCAAGCACCAGGTTAGTTTATAACCCAAATACTTGGGACTGATATTTCAGGGTGCCTTGAAAATGTGTGTGTGTATATATATATATATATATATACACGCACACACACTCACACCAACAGTAATTTCTGTATAGATGTGCAAGTATGTTTACAGCAGCTGAATCGTTAACCTTAATCAGTTTGCATCATATTCTAGTATTATTTCTCTTATCCATAACTGCAGTAGTTTAGGGCTTGGTTTCAGACATCATCATTTTCCTGTTGCCATTGTAGCTGATGACAAGAGGGAAATTCAAACTTTTTTTTTTTTTTTAATCATTTCACCCAAAGCAAGGCAATAAAGCCACCAAGGACAAGGAGTTACTGAGTGTTAGAAAATATGAGAAAAAGAAAACGTTATAAAAGAGAGAGAACAATGAAAGAACAACAATTAAGACAGAAGATAACAATTGATATTGCATTTAAAATTTTGAATATAAAAGCTGACTGGGAAGCCAGAAGAGAGTCCCATAGGTAAATAGTGCAATAAAAACTGTTAGTAAAAAACTTAGTTATATTTCAACTGTAAAACAATGAGAACTGTTACCAATCTAGTACTGCGCTTAAATTCTTAAAGTCTAGATACCATAGCGAAGAGCTCATCTGAATAATTACCAGGAAAGTATTTATAGAAAAGGCACAGGGAAACTACAGTACAGCAATTGTAAAAGGACTGAAGCCAAGAATGCCAGACCAGGACCAATAACACACACACACACTATGTGTGTGTGTGTGTGTGTGTGTGTGTGTGTGTGTGTGTGTGTGTGTGAGTGAGTGAGTGAGTGAGAGAGAGAGAGATCTTGAGTATCGTCAAAAAAAATGTGTAGAATTATTTACATAGATTATCCGAGTGGCATTTTTGAAAAGAAAGCTATACTTTTCAAATACTACAGAAAAAGACAAAGAAATATTCCTTCTTTACAACTTACCCAAGGGATAATCAACAATAGATGCCATGGCTCCAATTGTGCTGCCCAGCACCTCCCCAACTTTCCGAGCAGTCACAGGAGTGGATTGGGTTGTACTTGTGGGAGTCACAGGGCCTGTTGTTGCTGGAAATTTAAATAGAAAAAAAAAAAAAAAAAAAAATAATAACCACAATGATTACAACAACAACAATCCCCACCCCTGAGAGCACACAAAATCTTTAAGGCTGTTATGTTCCTACAAATATTCTCAGTTCTTACATTCTTTGTCTGCTTCTTTTAAACATCAATTTCAGTTTGAAGCTATCCATAATCATTGATAATTTAGGTACAAACAGAATTTTTTATTTCAACAATTTGTGATCTTTTATCTGCATTGAATGTTTCAATCTTAAACATGACGTCAGTCTACCCATTTCTCATTCATACTCTTCATTAAAAGAAGAAAATGTTATATTTTAAAAGGGCTCAGAAAAAAAAAGTTTACAGCCACTTCTTACTCAATGACTTATCTGTTTAATGAATCTTCTGAATTTACGATGACCAGCTATAAAACCTGTTTTATTTATTTTTATTTTTTTTAACTTTGTTAATTGTTTTTGAGACATTTTAATATTTTTTGCCAATTGGAATTAAAAAAAAACAAAAAAAAAAAACAAAAACAAAAACTTGTGTTGTATTTACAAGATGCAAGGCAAAGAATATAGAAGTGATTTTCCTATTTGTTTATTGCATTTACTGTTTAGTACATTAGTGTACTGTATAAATATTTAAAAATGAATTAGAAATGTAATAAAAGGGTGCAAAAGTGATGTTAAAGCTATCTGAAACTGCTGGACACAAACCCGTTACACACACACAGTGTGCATGAAGTAGTGGTCAAATAAAAGTTCTCACAAGCTCTGGCATGTCTGAATGGAATCTGTCACTTGTAAAAAAATTACAAATTACTTTTTTTAAATTTTATATGGAAAAGGTTTCGGTACATTAACATTTATATGGGTCATGTGATGCCAAATGATTCATGAATATACTGACACATTGATAACTATATGGGTCATGTAATGACAAGAAAACTACTAATTTGTTTTGAACCAATTAACAAGAAATTATTCTTATTTTAATTTGGAAAAATAAAATATGAAAAAGAAAAAAGTCAACCTGTTATTTGGTTTTAGTTGAGATTTGCCTAAATTATTTGTATGAACCAACAAAACTCACCATTTGACCACACATTATTTACCTTTGCTTCTTGCTCCATGACATTTATCACAGGTTCTAACCAAAGTATCACCCCATCCACGTTCAGGAACTGGATCCTTGTTGCTAGAACAGGAATCACAGAAGCCCTGACCACAGGCACGACAATGGTGTTTCTGTTCATTGCCTTCAAATAATTTTTCACAGTTTGTGCAATGCTGGAAAAATAAAAGATCAATACAGACTAAAAATGGATATGAAATTCCAAAAATTGTTTAGTCAAAGTTACTCAAGTTAAAATGGCTCCGAGATTTGTTGGCTAATTTTAATTGCTCTCAAAAAAAAAAAAAAAAAAAAAAAATCAATAGAGTCTAAAACTAAAACGGATATGAATTTTTAAAATTGGAGTCATCAAAGTTACAGAATGAAGCAGTAATCATAAGCAATTTCAAGATGGCTGCTTTCAAGATGTAACGGGATAAAAACGGCCTTGAGTTGTCTTGTCTGTATTACTTGGCTCAGTCAAAGTTGTGACTGGACATTTTTTAAGCATTGAATTTTGTTTGATTCTTTTTCATGGTTTATCAACCTTATGCAAGTTAGAAAATATTTTTAGATTGTAAGAATGTTTTGCAGATAATAGTGATTTCCGGATACAAGTTCTACTAATTAGCCCATAGATTTAGTGGGGACAAGAGTTGAATTCATAGCTTTCCCCAATGGTATTTGTGAGTAAATGAATATAACAAACCCAACTGAAATTGGAACTCAGCTCTCCAATTTCCAATTCCAATCCATTATCTGTTACACCACCCACACATCTAAGATTACAGTACCTGGTATTCCCAAATGGTCACCCATCTAAGTCAGGCTAGACATTGCTTAACTTCAGTGATTGTACAAGAACTTGTGTTTCAATGGGATATGACAATAAGCCAAATTTAACTGGAAATGTTATTTGGATTAGCAGAAAATGTGAAGCAGCTTCTTTGTGTCTCTCTTCATGAAAATGTGAAGCAGCTTCTTTGTGCCTCTCTTCATGAAAATGTGAAGCAGCTTCTTTGTGCCTCTCTTCATGAAAATGTGAAGCAGCTTCTTTGTGCCTCTCTTCATGAAAATGTGAAGCAGCTTCTTTGTGTCTCTCTTCATGAAAATGTGAAGCAGCTTCTTTGTGTCTCTCTTCATGAAAATGTGAAGCAGCTTCTTTGTGTCTCTCTTCATGAAGAGTAGGTGGAAATTCTATGAATTTGGACCAACTGTTGGTCTTAGCCAGGGCAATAATAACAGATGAAGGGTTGAGCTGAAAGTGTTATCGTGAGCAATATCCAAAATGGTGGAACAAACATCAACAAATGACTAAGATTGATCAGAATTTATGTGCTACAAGTATCATTTCATATGGCAAGAGATTGGTTGCACCAACAATGAAGGACAAGAAGGCTCCATTGACAAAAATCAAAGAAAGAACCATAATGTCAGTGATGCCAAGCGACTCTCTAATTTAGATTTTATATTCCTTATTTCCAACATTATTTTCAATCTTAAAAATTAATCTAAGTTTAAATTCAAATTTAAACTACAATTCTTTTAAATTTTTTAACTCCAATAATATTCCACCCCAACAATACATCTTGTGCGATCCAGAAAAAAAAAACCCAAACAACAAAAACTATCAACCCAACATATAAATAAATAGAAGTAAAAATAAAAAGATTAATTACAGCACTTGAAAATTGCTTCGGCATGAAACTATATATATATATATATATATATATATATATATATATATATATATATCAAAAAAAAAGAGATTAAATGTTTTTTGGTTGTAATGTGGAATTTTAAAAAAATATATTATGCTTTATTTTCCATAATTTTGCTACACAAGTTTCCAGTCTCGTGATCTTCATCAGGCAAAGAGTGGATATTGCTACATATTATTAAAAGGAATTTAAAAAAGAAATGAATTCCTTTTAATAACATGTGGAAATATCCACTCTTTGACTGAAGCTCGCGAAAATGGAAACACATGTGGCAAAATTATGGAAAATAAAGCATAATATATTTTTTTAAAAAATCCACATTACAACCAAAAACGTTTGTGGTTTCTCTCTTTTTAATATATACTCTTTCTCTTGTTGGAACAATTATAACCTCTTTCTTTTATACACATATATATATATATATATATATATATATATATATATATATATAGAGAGAGAGAGAGAGAGATATAGAGTTTCTCATTGACTGTAATATCCATCAGAATAAAATCAATTTAAATACTCTGGCATTCTCTTCAACTTGTTTATTGAAAGATGCTTTTGTTTATTTATTTAATAATTAGTTATGAATTAAAACTAATTTCAATTTAAAAAAATCCATCGACATTTTCTATTGCTATTAAATTTGTAAAACTCTTCTATAAAAATAATTCATGTATATTGTATATATACTAATATAAAAAAGAATGATTTGGTTTGGTTTGTTTTACGGCATATCAACCTCAATGGGTCATTTAATGCTGACAACTTTTTTTTTTCTTTCTTTCTTGGTAACATTTTTGTTTTGTCAAAAGTCTATTTCTGGTAATATTTTTTTCCTAAAATTTGTATTGCTGGTAATATTTTTATTTTTCAAAAACGTACTGCTGGTAATATTTATTTATTTATTTTTTTTTTTTTACAAAGTATTTCTGATATTAAAACCTATTTTTGCACTTTCATAATGTTTTTTTTCAGGGTCAACTATTTCCTCATAGCTGGGAGCCTAACAGGTGTTACCACCCCGTGTCAGGGTGGACCTGGGAACACCAGCAATTAAGAGGTGGTTCCACACTTCTCAAAACCTTCTGATCAGAGGCCTTGCTGTTGGACGTAGTTTAACGTCTTACCCAGGACGCTGATTATTAATAATGCACCTTTTGAGTGAGACAATCTTGGAAAGTGTGGGGTGGTGACATATGGTGAAAAGGATGCATTGGACAAATAAAAAAGAAAAAAAAGAAAAAGGTTGAGAATCATTGGTCTAGAATAAAAGGGATTGCAGAAAATAGATTTGAAAAGAAAAGAAAAGAAAAAAGAAATGACTTACGGCAATAAGAGCATTTGGTATCCAATAACTGGGGGCAATTTGATCAGTCATCCAGTCAGCTAGGACTTTGGTAGGCTTGGCTCCAACACTGGTCACCGTGTCAGCAACGTAATGAAGACTGTCAAGTAGTTTACGTGCAGCATTATGACTTCCCTGAAGATTATGTTGGTCCTAAAAACAAAAACAAATAAAAATGACCTCAGATAAGAATTGAAAACAAAGACCAAATCCAGATAATATAAAATGAAAAAGAAATTTTACATTCAAAATTCATTTCGTGTAAAGTTGCACAAGTTTAAGGCATTGCAATGTTTCTTTACTTGGATTATTTCTAAATGGGAAAAAAAAAAAAAACAAAATGGCCAAAGCTAAGAACGTTTTTTTCACATTACTCAACCAACAGCTCCGACAAACTTTCTTCCCCTGGTGACCCCAACTAGATGAATTTAAATGTGCTACTAGATTGGCATCTAGGTCTCACCTGTTTAACATTGAAATAGCTAAATACAACCATCACTTCTACTCTAACAGTTTCATTTCTCACACTTCCCACCTGTGGAACTCCCTTCTGTTTACTTGCTTCCCCGATAACAACAATCTTCAAAAATTTAAATACAATGTCAAAATCGTCTTCTATCTTCTTGAATGTCATTCATCTTTTGTCCTTTCCTCAATTCTCCCTATACACTGTCTTTTCTCTCATTTTCACTCCGTGTAACCCCCTGCGTACTAGTGGCATTCCCACCTTGCTTGCTTAAAATGATTAAGAAAAAAAAAAAAATACATGCATTCACCAACTTTTGTTGATTTCATATTATTTGGATTGACAAGATTTCTGACCATCTTTGGGTGACATTCACTATATGTAGGCAGAGAAACAATAAATAAAACTGAGTAATTCACAAATCAGTTTCAGTTTTTTTCCAATATTTGACTAAATTTAGTGGTGGAAAACTTTTTGTCCAACCAAAAGAAAATAATGAAATTGTTTAATAAAAAAAAAAAAAAATTCCCTGCAGTTCTCTTGAATTAAGTGACGTCAGAATCCATGTTAATTAAAATAAAATAATTTCATTCTTAAATCAGAAGTTCAGTTTTCTTTTTAAGTTTGTCATAAAATTCCTTTTGTTTTAAGTACAAATGTTGATTATATGGAAAATAGAAACACCTGATTGCATGCAGATTTACTGGGATGAGTATACTTATTGTGGTTGTTATAGTCATGAAGTTTCAGTCACAATACATTCCAGATTTCTTCAGGTGTCTGCTGTATTTGGTAATGTAGAAAAACAATGAATAGTCACAAATCTGAGTAGAGCTCTCCTAAACCATAAGCATCAACCAACCAACCAACTGGCTGACCCATTTTAAAATACTAAAAAATGTCAGTCTTATATTATCTGTAATCATAGCCACATATTGGCTAGGATTTGTTGATAACCAAGCATCATTCTCATGCCAATCAATACAAAAACTGATGACATTTATGTTGAGAGACTTTTTTTTCTCTAAAAAAGCAAATTATCTAGAACCAAACTCTTACTTACACCTAGTCAGCTTTTTTTTGTGATAGTCTGGTGTATGACTTTTTGCATACAACTGTCCATTTATTAGATCAGCTTAAGGCACACATTACGAGAATGTGTGACACATAAGACATTTCAAAACTGGATGCCTCAAAGAAAAAGAAGACTATCTTCAATACCATTTTGTGTCTGGTTTAGACAAATTTCCTAACTTTTATTGCAACAAGGATATCTTGAAAAGATTTACACTATTTCATACCAGAGAATGAAATGGAATTAATTTAACTAGCAGAATTCTGGGTTTGTTTGTTATTGGTATCAATGGCAAACCTATTTTCTTCAGACAATCCTTGCACTGAGACATTAAGTCAGATGCAATGTTAACAATTTCTTGTGACTTAAGGATTTATTCTTCCTGTAAACTTTCTTTTCAACTGGAAACCATTGAGTTGTTTCTCACGAGTAATGTGATTGAAAAATTTATCAAAAAGAAAATATTCCTTTCTTCTATTGATAAGATGTTAGGGTCACATAAATTAACTGGTATGTGTAAAATTGCTTGGTTGGGAAATGATAGCATTTGGTTCTCTTAAAGATTTATCAAGTCTATGACTTGTTGCTTTCCTGTAGTGAACTTTCTTTCACCTGGTGGTTATAACTAGGATGACTTTGTTTTTCTTCTATTAGCAAAAGACAGTGTATCTTTCTTTCATAAAAGAAATTAAGAAAGGAAACCTGAAAGATTATTTAGGAAATACTTGGTAGTTCTAAGGTAATAAAAAATAAATATTCATCCTAATTTCCACACAAGTTGTTTCTTGTTTTTGTGAGGGAGCAGCTGTCTATATTGAAAAAAAGAAGCTTCCTCAAAATCTGTCAAATCAATTCTGATAAAAAGATTATATATCACCATTAGACACTGACTTTTCATCTATTGTGATGAACAGGTGTTCCTTTAGAGCACTTATTGAGGCAAACTCAGCCCAGATCACAAGTAGAACTCGTACATATGATCCATTGCTAAAAATGCTGGAAAAAAAAAAAAAAAAACTAAAAAAACGGTTGGTCCACTGTACCATTCCAGTAAGAACCCGACTCCACCTGCTATCCTCTAGTTTTACAAGAGCCAAATCAAGCCGAAAATGGAGTACCGATGTCGTATATAGTCTTCACTTTCCAGACTCAGTAGAGTCCAAAATTCAATGTGACTTTGTGGGTGATGAATTATTCTCCGCCCAAACAGAATCTCCTTCCCCACAGATGAAATGATGCATGTCTCTTGTTACTCTATCGTTATTTCCATGGTATGTGTTCAGATGAAATACATTCCTTAATTCGAACAGTTCTAACCATCGCAACTAAAACTCTCCATGCCACACCCATTGTAGTGAACCACCCATGTATTCCCTTTGTATTACATTGAAGATGTAAATTCCACTTGAGCAGTTTCTTCCCATGCTTTGTAGAACCAACTCCCAAGAGGATGTTTTCCTGATCATTACAATCTTAACCTGTTCAAGTCCAGGGTTAACTGTTATCTTTCCCATATAATTCTGTAAACAGTGCCTATAATCTGTAACACTCTACCCTAGATAGGCTCTTAGGACTTGTACAGAGTGAACATAGTAAAAAAAAAAAAACAAAAAAAAAACAGAATATGCTCTAATAGAGGAAAGGGGGGAGACAAGAATAGACACCTCCACCTCTGTCCATATTTATAGTTACTCACCCCAGGCCAGATGTGACTGACCATTACTTGCACAACTTGTTCAATATCTTGATTCCCATACCAGTATTCATGGCTTCGATAGATAATGCCACAGTTTGGACATTCAAGCACATATCTGAAAGAGAATAGGCATCAGGTTGAAGACATTTTTTTTTAAAATGAAAATAATGATCAAAATCAACAGCATGACACACAAACATAAAATATTCTTAACAATTTATAGAAATGTAAATTTAAGAGATGTTCAAGTTTGGATTGAATTTTAATGAAATTTAGAAATAAATAAAATTTTTGATTTCATTAAAACAAAAATTTTGAACAACCAACAAAATTAAAGAAATTGTTTTTCAAACTTTATATTCAAAAATTATAGTAAAATTGAAATTATGTCTTCAGCTTAAGCCTAAGACCCTATCAGCAACCTATCATTCAGGAATAGTAGTTTGAAGAAATACTTACCCAGACCAGACATATTTGGCAAATCCCAACCAAGTGCTGTCTGATGAAGCAGAAGTTTTAGGAACAACAATAATATTTTTACCACTTTTAAAATAACATTGCTAAAAAAAAAAAAAAAAAAAAAAAAAAAGGGAAAAAATAGAAATTATAAGATTTTCTGTAGAGAAACAAACATTATATAAAGACAAAACAAAAAGTAAAAATTAAATATTAATCATCAGGTTTTATTTTTCTTTCAATTTTACAAAGATTCTCAATGAAGATCTGAGCTACATCAACATTTTCACAGGATCTGCAGAAATTTTATCAGTGGAATTATAAACTCCGAAGAGTTGCTTGAAAAATAATAAAATAAAAAGAAAAAAATTAATAAAAAATAAATAGTCGGTAATCTGTCTAAATAATTATAGTAGATTATCTCCTTCAAATAATGAATTCAGATTATAATTATACATAGACAGTTCAAAAAGTATTCAGTTATTTTGAATATCTAGCAAGCCGGTTATGCAGCTTTGATGTTAACCAATTAAAAGTGTCTTTACTTAAGGTGTGAACAAATATGCTCTTTGTGGTGGGTGGGGTATTCAGTTGGTAGTAAAAGGTCATTGAGTAATTGTTGCATTCACAGTAAATATTCAATACATTTTACTTGAAGCTTGGACATTCATTGGAAGAAATTAATGATAAGGAAGGTATCTTGGACCGATTCAATAAATGAAGCCCAAATAAAATTATGGGAAAATAATTTCAATCTTGGCTGGGTGTCTGTTGAAAGCAATGGACATTCTGGAAGGCCATCAACAAGAACAATACCAACAACTGTTGAATGCATTCGAGCTATAATTAAAGGAAATTGCTGATTGACAGAGTGCCAAAAGTAGGAAAACTGGATATTCCATGGACTGTCAGGAAAGTACTTAACCATTTTAAATATCACGAATGTTCATTCTTCAGCATTTATGTAGGGTTTTTATCAAAAACATTGCATCTCAAGGAGCATAACTGAGGGGATCAAGGTGCCATTTTCAAGGCAACATTTTCGTTAATGTTAAATGGTTGAAATTGTTTCCACACAAACCATAAACCATCATTGTGGACACAAGTGAACCTTTCAGGTGTATATGATAAGTAATAAGCATTTTAGGCAGTTTCGATTTAAGGGACTACAGGACCAAGGGGAGGAGGGGGAGTAGAGAGAAGACACTTACTTTACATAGGTAGACTTTGTTTTCATACTGGTGCTGGAATTGACAGTTCTTGCCTTTTTCAGGTTCATGTTGAATATGATCAATGTGATGATTCATACTTCGGATGCATCTGGCACTGAGAACAAAAACAAGAAAAATTGGTAAGGAGGGAAAGAAAATGGTTAATAGTGCTAAAAATGGTTTATAGTGCTATTATAACAAAGGCGTCATAGTTCCCCATTCAAAGCATTTTCAATTTTCTTGTTAATTTGTATTTGTGATGCTGCCACTGCTTGATCCAGGATTTGAGCTCACAACCATCAAGTAAACTGCAACCCTTAACCCAGTGATTCTCAACTGCTGTGGCACACTAATGTGCCGTGAAATATTGTCACAGTATATATATTCTATGTGTAGTAATGGTAGAGCGTTACTATTTGAATAAATGAATCAGTATTAAACTTTTGTTTTCCAAATTCTTTTCACTATACTTTGATTATATTATTTTAAATACTTCATTTTAATATTCATTTTTTTAAAAAGTATTATTTTTTTTAAGTGCTTGAAGACATCTGACAATGCCTATTTTGGATTTCAATACAAAAGGAATATCCCACATTAGATAAAAAGGCTTTATCAGTTTTATTGCAATTTTCTACTTTATGTGAATTAGTCTTCTCAACCCTAAATAACATCAAAAATAGGAAGCAAGAAAGGCTACATTCAAAGAAGTCTGCAATAGCACATTCGACTAAACATTGAAGAAATGGCAAACCCCCCCCCAAAAAAAACCCCAAAAAACAAACAAAAAAACACCAGGCACAGTTTTCACACTAAAGCTGCACACATAGTGGAATAGAAACATTGAAATAAATTACGTTAATATTTGTATTTTTTTTTTTTAAATCTATGGTTTTATTTCTTAATATTTAAATGTTAAAAGTTTTGCCATTGCTTTAAAAGGTTGAGAAACACTGCCTTAACCAATACTTCTATCCCCTAGGTTATTGTCTGGTAATGACAATGGCCTCTGGGTCAGATTGTGAATTTATAGACTGGTTCAGTGGAAACTGAAATCATTCTCTCTCTATAGATTGAAAAAAAGGGTTTAGTTTGAAATACCAAATATGTTAAGAAGAATGATAGATGCACAAATGAAGATGGTAAGAATAACAGCAAAAATGTTGTCACTATAACAACTAAGATGAGGATAACAGTGAATAAATCAGTGAATAATTCCTCTTTTTAGAATTTCAAACAGAATGCTTTTTGTTACAAGCCTGTTAAGATTTTTCATATATTTCAAATGAAAACAAACTGAGTGACAAGTTAACCAGAATTCAAAGTTATCAACAACAAACACCAAAGTGTGTGTTATCAGCCCAGATCCAAAGTTTAAATATCAACTATTTATTTTTTTATACAGGCAATTAAAAATATAATAATCATCATAGTAAAGTAAAAAAATCATATTTCACAGTATGAAATCTCAGAAGTTGGTTTGTTGACAACCATTCTCAGTCGAATAAAAATGGTTAATGGCACAGAAATGGAAATCAAATTCTGGTTGAAGCTGTTTGGGTTTCGTTTCATGTAAAGGGAACCCAAACACGAATTAATCAACACTTCAAGCAGAAGCGGGGGTCAGGTCAGAGATTACACTCAGTTATTGACCCCCCTCCCCACCACCATCCCAACATCTACACACAACTATCAGAACAAGCTATTTTGGAGAAGGATACTCTCACAAAAAACCTACAGTTTGGCAGTCACCTTAGCCCTCATTGAGCATGAGCACATCAAGTTGAGCTTCTCTTTAAACACAACTAGTAAGTAGAAATGGGAGAAACAGGTGATGGCCTTTAAATATTAGATTCTCCACTCCTGATTCTTGTAAGAAAAGAAGGAAGCTAATAACAACATCAACTGAATAATGACTGACTAAGGATATCTTAAGGTTTTATCAATTAATCCAATTCTAAGATTTCATAAATATAAACTTATTGCATTCAAGTTAAAAGATATTTATTTATATGCTAATGATATTTTCAAAACTGTTTGATAAAACTTACTTGCAAGACAGACACTTAGCAGTACAGGTAAAATATTGGTCTGGGAATGTGATGGCATCTGGTTTCTCAATTTTACCACTAAATTTACCATTCAAAACCTGAAAGAGAAAAAGAAAATAGAAGGTACAATTTTTGATATAATGAAAGGGTTTCTGACAAAAAACACATGGACCTATCTTTATATAAATATATATTTTTTCTAACTTCATTCATATTTGTGATACATCTTTTCAGGAAGTCAGTGATCAAGGCTCTCCACAACTTTCTATCCTTTATAGCTCTTAGTGTTCTGATAAGAAAAGAACTCCTGAATTTATTAGTGAAGGTTTCAAACTCAACATGGAGGCCTACATCAAGTGCCTTGAAGACGTAGAGATGCCCTGGGTCAAGAGGGTGGCTGCTGGAAGACCCTATGTCTAGCAAAAGGGCTCTGCACCATGCCATACATGCAAGAGAACCCAGTCATGGCTGTCAGACAATTTCTGCAACCATATCACCCCCTTACATCTGGCCACCTAACTCCCTTGACTGCACCCCCCCTTGATTATTATGTGTGGGGCGCAGTTCCACGAGAGACCAACAAAACTCCTTGTAAAAGCAAAGATGAACTGAAGGCAAGGATTATGGCAGCATTCACCAAGGAGACTGTCCAGAAGAGTTACAGGACATTCTGAATTCAGTTTGCCAAGATTGGCTCCAGATAACGAAAATCAGTTGAAATACTGATTTTCAAGCTCTTAGCAATCTTCTGCAAAATTTTCTGTTTATTCTTCACAATGACAAGCAGGGTGCCTCGATTGAAGTTGAATGGTTGCCCAGAGCAGAGTTAATCATTTATATTAAAATCACCCTGATGATATCTGCCAAACCACTTTTTGAAGAGCTCAAGCATAATCTAAAACTTTCTGAATGTTTTTTTGGTTACACTTCTAACATTTTACTCCTTTCTTAAAGTTCACAAAGAAGAATAATGGTGAGAGTGAAACTTTTCAGTTTCGATCTTTAATCTATTAGCAGTCACCCCCCCCGCTCCCCAGTAAATATCGTTTCTCAAAAATCTTACTGTTTGCTTGACTTGCTGTGATAATGTCTTCATATCGTATGGCAGAGTATACATGGGGTGGATTATGGTGGGTTGAACATTGAAAGCCGATATTTACAGTTTTGAATGCTGAAGAGTTAAGACATTCATTTTAGGGAACAAAACATTGAAACATTCAACAAAGTCTGAATCTCAACTGAATGGTTTCAATCTAAAACACACCAGAAATCAGAACCAAAAGAAATGCCAGGGTCAAGTTGAAGTCATTTTATATTAACAATGAAAATTGGGCACAAATTTTTGCAATGATTTGATAAATTCCTGCTTCAGGTTTAATATTGTCATTTTCTGTTAAATCTCTTGTGTTTGAAATAGTTGATAATTTTATATTAAGCTTAGATCAATTCTTTTCAAAGACTCTCCATAATGGACAGTTTTCACACAGCAGTAGGCATTGCATGTGTTGGTAACTAAAAGATATAAAAATGTTTTGGCAGATCATGTGGAATTATGTGAAGCAGTTCATAATTTAACTTCCATATTATTTAAAAGTTTGTTGTCTAATTTTGAATGCTACACTTTTTTGTAATGAACGGGTTTTGTTCGATAATGGTCTTTATCTGCGATACTATTTTCATTCAAATTTACCACAGTGTAGAAGGAGTTTTGAAGAATACTACAATTAAATTTGTCATTTTTTAACCTTTGTTTTCTAATATTGGATGTTAGCATATTTGAATTTTAACAACTCTAGTGTAATACAGAGTAACTTTTAACATCTAAAAATTCTGACATCAAAAATAAAACTAACCTTTAAGCTTATATGTAAATTTAGAAATTTGACCAAGTGTTTTTAGTTTATCAGACAAATTTCATTTATAGATTAATTTATTACCATTATGCTCAGTGCTAAAATTTTGTGACCAGAATTTACCAAAAAAACTGAATGTTGTAAATATTATGATGATGTTTTGAAATCAAAGTAATAACGATAATAATAAAAAGAAAAACACCAACAACTTCACGCTCCTATTTATTGAAAGAAGCTTACTTAGATGAAGTAGCCAGTGAGGAATTGAATTGTTTACTGGTGTGTAACATTAGTACCCTAAACACTAGATCTATGGAAGTTACATAAAATGTAACACTCAGTGACTCAGACTATATATTATAGATATATATTTAAATATGTTTTTAACGGTACAAAAACGTATTATGGCATTAAAGGCAAGAAATTTTTTACTATAGACCATGATAAATTTTAAAACAAAAACACAAGTTGACTGGTTTCCCCATTTACTGTTCTGACAAGAGGGGACGAAACTGGTCGACTTGTGTTTGTGTTTTAAAATTTATCATGGTCTATAGTAAAAAATTTCTTGCCTTTAATGCTATATATATATATATATATATATATATATATATATATATTTATTAGTAAAACATTTGATAGAGTCCTTTATAATTATTTTTTAATTTGATAATTGTCTGTAGAGAATATCAGGATTTTTTTTTCAGATGGAAATTTGATCAGGTTAAAAGATCAATACTGAAGATTTATTGCTTTGCATCATTTTGTCATCTTTTTTTAAGTGAATATTACTTATGATTTAAGTTTGGACATTATATACAAGAAACTCATGTAACATATGAACAAGTGAATTATTCTACTGTTTATAATTAATGTTTATCAAACAAAAAAAAAAAAATCAAAAAATCAAAGGGACATTATCAGCAGTCAGAGTTTAATAGACAAAACAAATTGTTTCATATTTAAGCTTTAACAAAAGGGTTTGATGACAGAAAAATGAGATCAAGAAATAGAGAAAAAAAATCATTTAACAGCTGGAAAGTTATTAAACATTAAAAAATGTCACAGAGGTTAAAACATTAGAACAGTCAGCCCTACATTACAAAAAAAAAAGGTGTGTGTGTGTGTGTATACACACACACATTTGGGCATCGTGGCCAAGTGGTTAGAACGTTCGCTTTCTGACCATGAGACCTGGGGTTGTAACTCACCACGGTAGATTTGTCAGAAAGGAGACTTCCTGATGTTATCGGAATGGATTGAGGTCAATCCCAGCATGTGGCACCTTTGGAAAGTGCCTGAAGGCCATACCACAGTTTGACCCAAGCCTTGTGAGTGAAATTGGGTAGCTGGAACTCTTGAGGGCTGTCGATAGCTGTGCTAGGAAAAAGCCACAAGTCATCGTGGCCGAGGGCTCAAGTGTGCTGGCTTTGTTCAAATTGTTGATCATGCTAGATAACACACTCTCTCCCAGAAACTGTAACTAAGGTCTGCTCAGCATAGTTGCAGTATAAACCATGGATGGGCTCTGTGGGTGTTGAGCAACCACAAATGTGCCTGAGCGAGCATCTGCAATAAGGATTGGCTAGCCGCCATAGTAGACAGGTATTCTTGAATACGAGTGACCAGCTTATATATATATATATATATATATATGGATGGATGTGGGGGTGCTGGAAAGTTCTCAGCTTAACCAAGAAGCTCTCTCAGGAAAAAAAAAAATCTTTGGTTATGTGTTGAGATTTTGTGAAGTGAGTCAGGCTGAATTTTCAGTGTGTGTGTGTGTGTGTGTGAGTGAGTGAGTGAGTGAGGAGTGTAGGTTTATAAAGCAACATTGCATGGTGACAGTTTCACACCTCAATATGATCTGAAGACTACATTGATTTCTCCAGCCCACACTGTCATCCATAAACACTTGATTTATACATGTTGAGCTTTACCCCTCAATAAAAGTAAAAAAAATTAAAAAAGACAATGTGTGTACATTTTTAAGCAATGGATCAACATTTTAAAAAATTGGATGTTACTTAAAAAACCCAAAAAGTGATGTCTATTCAAGTATGTGTGACCACTAAATATAAAATTAATAGATTTCTTATTACTATAAATGTTATTTTCACTGGGTACACAGGTTTCAGTTGCTATCCCCATTTTTTTTTAAACAGTGAAATTAACAATAACCAGCCTAGGTTGAGAAATCATAGGCTGGGCATTGTTAATTTCACTTTTAAGAAAATAAACAAGGATGTCAAATCAAACCTGTGTCCCAACTAAGAATAAGGTTCATAGTAATAAGCAATAATGTCAGATCTTTTCAATTGAATTTTTAACCCATTAAAAAAAAAAAATTTATACATGTGTACACACACACACACAAGTTTAACTGTCAAGTATATATACATGAAACTGTTTAAACTGAGATAAAATTTAACTGTATTTGTGTAACTATTTTTTTCAAATCTGAAAAAAAAAAAAAAAAAAAAAAAAAAGAAAGAAATATTTTTGTAGAGAATATTGTGGCAAACAAAAGAAAAGCAATTGTTTTTGTTGCCTTGCAGACAACAAAAACAAATTTTCCTTCAAAGACTCACATTAACAATGAACAGACAAAAAGGCATTGTTGATTTCTTTTCTAGGGGAAAAGAAAAAAAAACAACAACAACCTTGGCAATCTAAAGAGAAGCATTAACCATTATTAAATTGGTGCATTGCTCAATCAGTACAGTACATTATTAGTGGAGAGGATTAGATCGTGATTTCAATCCCAGTAATGGCTACTCAGCAAAATTAAAACCATTATATATAAAATATTATATCTCAAAAACAGAAGTTTGACACCACAGATTTTAAAACACAGGAAAGCATTCTTCTTAAAGGATCCTTTTCAACCAACACTGTGAGAAGTTGGTAAGCATAATATTTATAAAAATATAATTTTTTTCTCATATTGCAAATTTCTTTTTTAATATTTACCAAAGTATTCTTCTGATGAAGTGTTGGTTGAAAAGCAAGATTGCTTTCCTCTCTTTTTATATATATATATATATATATATATATATATATATATATAAGGCTCAAACACTAATATATTAGTGTTTGAGCCTTTTATATTATATTCTTACTCTGTCCTGGACATTGAGTTCTACCTGGATTCTATCCTCTTGGAATGTAGGATACCCATGGCTTAGATACAAAGACACGCTGAAGAGCAACTTGTCAGCTGTCAATATACCTCATAACACCCTCGGGTGCTTAGTCTTGGAGCAGGTAGAGTGGAGATCAATGTATTTGAGTGGACTCAGCAGTTTTCAATCTGCTAGTCTGAATTGCCTTCAAGAAATGACAGCAAGATCTAGAAGGTCAGCCAATCTAACAGTCATCTCATCTCACAAACCTCACACTTGCTCCATATGCTGCCTCCTTTGTAAATCACTAGCGGGTCTTAAGTGCCACTTAAGATTATCGCATAAAATTCATAACTGAATCAATTGGTTAAGTCGTCAGATCCTCATATATCGAAACTGACAGGAGAGTCCATTATATATATATATATATATATATATATATATATATATATATATAGTAACAAAGGAGAAAAGGGAAGTGCAGGTATCATAATGGTTGTCAGTGTGGAAAACAGAATCAGCAAGCCAAGTTCAAATTTCTGTTTCACACTGATGCCCTTGGGAATGGCATGAACTCATTTCTTCTCCCCTCTTGGCGATGTGTTTAATAGCAGGACACACTGGGTTCTCTAGTTTTAGGTAGCAGCCAAGTATATTTACCTGGTCTCCCCCCACTAAGACAGGATGTGACACAAGGTCATTTTAACATGAGGAGCAACATACACATATGGGCAAGGTCAAAAAAGTTGCCACACTGGCATTGATATTACATGAATCTTTCCCCTCTCTTACTGCAATGAGGAAGGTGCTGCCTGAAGGATTAATGATTGCATTTAAGCATGGAACTGTAGCTATGCAGTATTGATTCACATGTCCACACTTCTTACATCTCAATTTTCATAATGTGGTATTTATATAAAGTACAAATTTTATCGTAACCTAATTATGTACAATAATGGATTATAAGTAATATAGGAGAATAATTCAACTAGAAAAATTGTATCTAAATACAATTTAGAGACATGTCATAATAGATCATTCCATCTTAAATCAACAATGCTTTTTGCCTATTTTTAACATCAACTAGAGATTTTCCTTGCTAAGGAGTTAGTATGCACTGACCTTGCACAAAATACAGATTGATTGTCAAAAATCATTTCTAAAGATTTTTTTAAAGATTGCAAAATTTCAGCTTTAAATCAATTTTTTTTTCTACTTTTTCCAGAAAAAAAATTAGTTTTGTTTGTGCAGAATGATGTAAACAAGGGAGTAGTGGTAAAGTCAATGGTCTGTAATAAGAAAATCTGAAATCTTACCTATGAATAATGGGTTCAAATGCAGTTAACAGTAAAATACAAACATGATCATTGACCTTTTTTTTATAACTACATTACTTTCTGAATTTGCAGTGTTAATTGATATGGCATCATTAAAACAAATGAAAATTGTTTAATAAATTTTAGCTATAATATTGCAGGTTACATAATGAACTATTTTTTTTTTTATTCTTATGGTGAGTACAAATGAAGAGAGATTCACAGATGATAAAGAAAACATAACTGGAAAAGATAAAAATCCATTTGATAAATGGACAGGAATGAAAACTGACAAAACTATTTTGTTTACCTTCAGGACTTTGAAAATAATCTCTGGTTTTCGGGGTGAACGTATAGATCGGTTATTCAACTGCTCCTGAACAACTTTGCGTAAAACTCTGAAGTCAGTCGGGGGCAGTTGAGTTTGAACCCCAACATATTTTAGGTCACTGAATCCTTCAAAACTACATTCAAGCTTCTTGAAGCGTTCTCGCAAGGCAATTTCAACGGGATCCCCATCTGAAATGGATAAAGATTCAATTTTTAGGCGTATCAATATCTAAAAATGTTGTGCAGAGTGGTTATGCTAATCTGTCAAAAGTGACAATGCATATAGAAACCATTATTTTGCTACTACTCAAACAGGTAAGGTAATTATTACAGTAGATTAAAATACTTATATACTATATATATACACACACACACACATATTATATATATGTACACCAGTTTTAACAGCATAATTGTCTAGCTCATAAAATGTTTAATATCTAAAAAAACCAAAAAAATCAAAAAAAAAAAAAAACACCAAACTAATTGAGTTTCTTTTTCCAGGTTTTCAGATAAGACATTTAGACATCTTGACACCATTTGTTGTAAGAATCACTGAAAAACCCTTTGAATTATTCAGTTAGAAAGAGAACAGGTTAAAATTATTTTGTGTCAGCCCTACTATGTCTTTACAACTGAGCAATGGTGAGAGGAAAAAGATCATTCAGGGCTTCAGTAATGGTACCAACATTCATAATCTGGCTTTCAAATTCAAAATCAATTCATGAACCATCAAGAGAACAGTGAATAAGTTTTAAAAAACAGGGAACAGTAGAGAGGAAAACTGGATCAGGAGGTCACAACAGGAAGAAGCATTATCATTTCAATTTAGAGCTAAAGAGATCCATTAGAAAGGATCCAACTTGATCCATAAGACATTTGTCACATGAGAGAGGAGTTTCAGCTATGACAGTCCAAAGAGCAGTAAAAAAAATAACTTGAAAATGAAATTGTACATGAAATCTCTGAGGCACCTTGTTACTCCAGGACAGTTGAAGAGGTCTAAGATCATCTTGAATAAGTTGGAAAATGATTCTGGAATAATCTTCTAAACAGATGAGAATAATTTTACACAGAATTCATTCAAAAACAGATGCAGTGGATGTATTCTGACTTCACGAGAGAGACAAGAATGCCACTTTCAAGTGCAAATGGTAATGGCTTTTGTCTATGTGGCCTCTGATGGCAAGAGATGCCATTGATCCTGTTTGAGAAAGATGAGAGACTGACAGGATTTTGCTATGTTCAAATTTTGAAAAAAGTAAAGACCTGGATTCTTTCTAAATATCCTGAAGCTAGAGACAATTGAAACTCCAACAAGATCGATAAGGACTTCAAATTTACATTCTAGCAAGATGGAGCGCCTTGTCACATGAGCACAGTGACTCAATAATTTCTCAGGGATGAGTTTGCGAACAGGTTTTGGGATAAGGAAACTGTCTCCTTCATCGTCTGAATTGAACCCCTTAGACTTCTGAAATGAACTGGCCAGAAAAGCTTGTGAGATGCCCCACAGCAAGCCCTCAAAAAATTCATCAACAAGACCTGGGTGGAGAAGATTGAAGAATTTATTAAAAAAGCTTGTGGCACATTCAGGAAGAGGGTTGAGGACGTCATTGCCAAAGGCAACAAGCAACTCTTGATGCCTAACAGTTTGAACTTGTGCCAGAATTGTTTTTATCTGGTATTTAAGATTCCATTTCAGCTTTTTTTCAATTCTTCATGAACTTCCAATCCTTAGCTATGATTAATTAATGATGAATATGTCATTTTTAATTATGATCAATTTCGTTACTATTCTTCTGTTAAGCTTGGAGAGTAATTATACATTCTTATTATTCAAAGAAGAATCTAATAGTGTTAAAAAAAAAAAAAAAAAAACTCGGAGAATACCAGTAAGATATTTTTAGTCATTTCTAAGATACAACGGTTCAAATCTTAATCTAACAATTGGAAATTTTGCTGTTACACCCATGTGTGTGTGTATGTGTATATATATATATATATATATATATATATATATATATATATTTTAGGTGCGATGGATAAATTGCCGTCTAAATTACACAAAAATGAAAATAACACTGACATCTCATTTTAACAGATATATTTACCAAAATTACATAAAAATATCTTGAAATACTAAAGAGAAAATTCAAAAAAAAAAAAAAAATTTTGCCATTGGCTTCAAACATGGTCTCCAGACGACTTTGGAATCTCTTGCAACTCTTCTGGACAGTTTTCTTGTTTAAGTTGGTGAATGCTGCCATAATCCTTGCCTTCAGTTTATCTTTGGTGTTACAAGGAGTTTTGTTGGTCTCTTGTTCAACTGCACCCCACACATAATAATCAAGGGGGTTCCAGTCTGGGGAGTTAGGTGGCCAGATGCAAAGGGTGATGTGGTCGCAGAAATTGTCTGATAGTCATGCCTCGCTACTCCTGCTTGTGTGGCATGTTACAAAGTCCTGTTGCTAGACATAGGGTCTTCCAGCAGCCACCCCAAGGCAGCACTACCTCCTTAAGACATTTGATATAGGCTTTTGTGTTGAGGCTGAGGCTCTGTGGGAAGATGAGGGGGGGGGCATAATGTCGCCATCACTAGTGTTCACTACAAACACCTTTATAATCACCATTAAACTAATCCGAATCATTCCAAATCCTCTGCACTGTCCTCAGATCGACACCCAAACACTCTGAAATGTTTGTATTGGATCTTCCAGCATGAATACCAAGCAGTACAGCATACCGTTTTCAAATTTCTGGCAGAGTGAATAGTCTCATGGTATTCTTTTTCTCACAAATGGTGCCCAACTGACCCTACTATACTGTGCACTTGGGGCACCTCAAAGTGGTGTAATGGTTAGCAAGCTTGTCTTGCTAGAACAGTTACTACTGCACAGTGATTTTGATCCTCACTGGGTGCCCACTACTTTTGGCCTTGTGTCACATCTAATCTACACTGGGAAAATCACTATACTGTGCATCTGACAAAATCAAAAATAATTAACACTCATGTATGAAATAAAAAATATAAAATGGCGACAATTTACCCATCGCACCCTATATATATGCCACACAGGTAAAAATATATATGAAAGTTGAAAATGTGACTGGAGTCTTTAAGAATATTTATTTGGAGTAATGTTACCAGTTTCAGAGTTCTATGATTTTCAAAAAATAAATTGAGACAGAGAGGTCTGTGACTATGCCATTATCTGTTTTACATGTCAAATGCACAAGAGATCATCTCATAGCCACACATCTCAATTTAATTTTTGAAAATTACAGAACTCTGAAACTGCTAAAGTTACTCTAAATATTCTAAAAAACTCAAGTTGAATTTTCAACTTTTTCCTATAAAGCAGGATTCTTGGATTTGTTTAGTCAAACCAAGTTTTTTTTTTAAATTGGTCTAATATTTCACCATCAGCATGTAACAGCTATCAGCATCTAGTCTTGTAACCTGACCTAAAGAAGCTAAATTATCGCTTCTGCAGTAGATTATCTAAATCTACTAATGTACTCCACCCCCATCAGGAAAAAAAAATTATTAGTTTAATGACAGCCCCACCCAGAGAAGTCTTTAGACATATTATCATAACTCATTCTTCAAATAATAAAATAAATGTAGCACATACAAAAAAAAAAAAAAAAAAAAAAAAAAAGGTCCAATACTACCAAATACATTTTTGTCTTACATAAATTTCATATGAATGACGTCTCTTTAGTGGCTGAGGTCATTACAGGTTTCCAATCAATATCCGTAGAGACAGTCTTTTAAGCCCAAGTAAAATCCAGAATTTTAAATGCCAATTTTTAAAAGGTAAGCATGTAGGCAGTCCCCATGATGCAAAGTAACATCAAATTTCCTATACAGGGAATACTCAATTTAATTCCAGATTATCTGATGTTAGAGGTCTCTCCAGGAAGTGAATAGTTACTGTGAATATATCAAGAACTGGTTGTGCAGCCTTGATGTAATGACAGCCAGTAGATGAAAACTGTACTTGGCATGTATAAACAGACACCTTAATGTGAGGTTATTCATTTGACAGTTACATGCTACTGAGAGAGCTTTTGATGGAGCTAGTTGAAAAACTGTTCTGAGCATTTTGGGGGATTTTGTAGGTTGCTTCAAAAAGAATGAATATTCAGATAAGTTTGTGAGGTTTTGAAGAGATTACTCTGAAGTGGACTAAAGCACCATTGTTCTAGGTTGGCCTTGGTTTATTAACACTTTCACTGCTGCATTGTTATAGCATTGTTGCCTGTCTGTTCTGGACCATTTTTGGAAAAATAGAAAATGGGCCATTTACAAGAAATAAATAATTATAAAAGATACTGATGGCAATTTTTCATAACTGCTTTTATTTTCGTTTTGATTAAATGCTCTCCAGTACAGTCTTAGCTAAACAACACAAAATATAAAAATATACAACAAAACAGGTATTGTATGCTACTATATGTGTACATTGGTTGGGAAATAGCACTTGTTGGTTTATAACACAAATGCTCTGGACTGACATTTCATGGTGTCATCAAAATGTATGTATAAGTTTACAGCTGGCAATGTAAGTTGGAGGTCTTTCTATTGCTGGCAATGTAAGTTGGAGGTCTTTCTATTGCTGGCAATGTAAGTTGGAGGTCTTTCTATTGCTGGCAATGTAAGTTGGAGGTCTTTCTATTGCTGGCAATGTAAGTTGGAGGTCTTTCTATTGCTGGCAATGTAAGTTGGAGGTCTTTCTATTGCTGGCAATGTAAGTTGGAGGTCTTTCTATTGCTGGCAATGTAAGTTGGAGGTCTTTCTATTGCTGGCAATGTAAGTTGGAGGTCTTTCTATTGCTGGCAATGTAAGTTGGAGGTCTTTCTATTGCTGGCAATGTAAGTTGGAGGTCTTTCTATTGCTGGCAATGTAAGTTGGAGGTCTTTCTATTGCTGGCAATGTAAGTTGGAGGTCTTTCTATTGCTGGCAATGTAAGTTGGAGGTCTTTCTATTGCTGGCAATGTAAGTTGGAGGTCTTTCTATTGCTGGCAATGTAAGTTGGAGGTCTTTCTATTGCTGGCAATGTAAGTTGGAGGTCTTTCTATTGCTGGCAATGTAAGTTGGAGGTCTTTCTATTGCTGGCAATGTAAGTTGGAGGTCTTTCTATTGCTGGCAATGTAAGTTGGAGGTCTTTCTATTGCTGGCAATGTAAGATGGAGGTCTTTCTATTGCTGGCAATGTAAGTTGGAGGTCTTTCTATTGCTGGCAATGTAAGTTGGAGGTCTTTCTATTGCTGGCAATGTAAGTTGGAGGTCTTTCTATTGCTGGCAATGTAAGATGGAGGTCTTTCTATTGCTGGCAATGTAAGTTGGAGGTCTTTCTATTGCTGGCAATGTGAGATGGAGGTCTTGAAAGCATATAATATACATCAACAGCAGACAGTGTAAGTTTCATAAAGACATAAGGATATTCACAACAGCAAAAGTGTTAATATATAAATGGCTAGAGAGTTTCTGAATAAATCTTACATATAAAGATTATGTTCTATTACAAAGACTTTTTAGTGACAAGACAAATGAAGACAAAGTCTATGAAGCATCTTACCTGTATGAAGCACCTTTGTATGCATTGTCTCATGGAAGATGATAACAATGGGCCCCATTGTGGAAAGAGAAAGATTTAAGTTGCACCTTTTATTGGCAGCCTTCAGTTCCTCAGAGAAATGTTTAACGTAGGCATTGGAGGCATCACCCAAGAAATAAAAGAGATCATTGTGCAACCTTTCAGCTCTGGTGCGATAGATGACAATATCAGAGACAGCGAGGACTTTAAGCAGTAGGCGGGTCCTTTGGTTCTGATTCTTAGTCACCCCAAGCATACCCTCAGTGTCAATGATGATAGCCTTGTTGTTTTGGTCATAAGCTGCCCAAATGCCAATGGTACAAGAGTCCTGGGAGGTAGATGTTGGGAACACTTCCTTGCCATTGAAGAAGGTGTGATTGAGAGTGTGTGATTTGCCATCGCCCGTATTACCAAAAATGGAAACTACTTTCACTAGAGAGTTGCTGCTGCTGCTGCTGCATCCAAGTTTCTTTAATAGGTCCTCCTCATGATCAACCTTGCATTTTTAAAGAAAGAAAGAAAGAGAAAAAGAAATCAATATTATTGGTCAAGTCTTTATGAAATATGAACTTCTAATATCTAACATCATATGAATTCGGGTACACATTGCTTGACCGTTGGAAATGATCGTAGAAATCTGAAAGAAGATTATCCTTCAGACAAAATCATAAACAAAGAATTTTATCAAATAACAAAAACTACATCACTTGAATATTTCCATCAGCAGTTGGAAATATTCAATAAAAATAATGAGTGGCACATGTAAGTGGAAGGCAAAATAATGACATAATAAAGTTGTTAACTTTCCCCAATATAAAAAAGAAACAAATTTGGCAGGAAAATCCTATTCATATTAGAAAGAGCTATGACATTTAGTGGCCTTGAGTAGTTTAATCTCCTAAAAAACTGTTTTAAGAAAAAGATTTTATAAATTTCAGCTGACTGTAACACAAGCTGTTTGGTCAATGTTTCCTGTAGAGAAAAGGGTTAATGTTACAATTACCACAAATTATTTAGATCAGTATCTTCATACTTGTTGTTGGGATCATGTTTTAGTAAAAGCTTTTTAATCATTGTTTAGTGCATATAGCATGGACCTGAATATGGTAAAAAAAATAGGTAAAATGTATTGATCAAAGCAAAATTGATGAAGATAATTTTAAATAGCTGTTAATATTCATAAACCCAAAAACAATTTTCCTTAAAAAAAAAAAAAAATATATATATATATATATATATATATAGGAATGTAACAGGCTGGACTATAGATGTAATTTAGTTTTGATCTGAGGAGTACTTTGTTTTTTGTTTTTTAATCACCAATTCCAGCTTTGATTCTCATTGTTTGACCATCAGCACATCCCCTTTTAATTTTCAGTATAAAGGTTTACATAGGTGTCTTCAATTAGTTTACTTCCACATTATTCAGTGTTGCCTAAAAAAAGTATCTCATTTTTTTTAATTTTTTTTTTTAATTAATATCACCCTATGCAAGGCAGTAAAGTCACTAAAACACAAGGGACTACAGAGTGTGGTGGAATTGGGAATGGAAACGTTAAGAATGAGTGAAAAGAGAAAAGAGTAATCAGGAGGACAAGAGATAGTGATTGACATTGCATTTAAAAAATTATTGACTCCATGAACAAGTTTTTACAGAACAGACATAAATTACCTTTGACAAAAATCCATTAGAATATATGGAGCTAAATCAGATTAAATGTGTTTTTCTATCACATGTTTTTGTTTTGAACTTCTGTCATAAGTTTGTCATATGATAATTTATTAAACCACTCTCCCATATCTATTACCCATGAAGTAGTAACTGCAAAAAAAGTTATTAAAAACATTAATCTTGAAAGAGACCAATGTTGTAATTATTGTGAAAGTTAATATTAAGGAAAAAAAAAGAAAAAATCATTTTAACAATCATCACTGATGTATTTCATAAGGAATAAACTTTTTTTTATTTTAAATAGAATCTAAAACATTTACTGGTGATGACACAAATTAATCCTCTTGTCTTACCCTTCTCCCTCTTCAATCGGTTTTTACATAGGAAAAGTTACTGAAAGGAGGTGATAGAATTCTTGACATTTTGTTTATTTTCAGTCACAGCAGCAACTGAAAAATGTGTTTACTCAAAAGGGGAAGGTTTGTGAATACTGTCACTGGTGTCAACTCAGCATAAACTTTCTCTTGACTTTTTTTTTTCATATCTCTAAAGGGAAGATAGCTAACAATTTATTACTACAGTCACTCCTTTTCATAATATTCTGATGATGAGAATAAACATTGAAATATTAGCTCAATTCCAACCCACTCCCCTTTCTTGATTTTTATCTTATTTGCTATTCATTCAAAGTTAGGATAGTATACATGCAGTCAATTTTATCTTTGCAGCATAAATTAAAGTCCATGCCTCAAAAAAAAAACAAAAAAAACAAAAAACAAAAAAAAACAAAAAACAACAGGTACAAATTCATGGGACCTTTTAAAACTTTGATGGGTTCTTTGAGGAAATGAAGTTTTTGACTTCAAAAGATCACTAGATGTAACATTATCCTGAAGAAGGCTGAAGAACAAATTACTTGAAGTATTGTGATGAAAGCAACAAAGATGTTATACTTGCACTATTTCAACTGATTGATCTCATCTTGGTTGTTATAGATGTTATTATAGACATGTTTTGATCAAGTGCCCTCTGGTTATCATCAGGTGTCAATTGTTTTTGGCCAATATGAGAGATCTTTTGATTATTATATTTTGTCCCTGTAATAGATATCGGTCACTGTCGATTCCTGCTGAACCAATGCTTCACTATTTGATCGAGAGATTGAACTCATCATGACAGTAACACATTTCTAACCAATTCCTACATCCTCTATGCCACTGTCCTGAAGGACATTAGTGTTGTGTTTTTGGAGCCCTTTATATTCAGTTTTTGACATTTGGTTATGATGGTGGGTTTATAGTTTGACTTTCATAATTTATTTCATTTCCAAGATAGCAATTATCAGGATGCTTGTATTATTGCATATTGTTCTCATCTTGAAACATTGTGCCTAACATACAATTGCATATCAACCAAGATGGGAATAATACAAGCATATTGACAGTTACTCATCTCAGAAATGAAATAAATTATGAAAATATTAGTCTGAATAATGTGTAGAATAAGAGAGTCAATTTTTTGTGTTGTAATGAAACTGAGTTGTTAAGAGTTAAAAGTTGTTTACAGGATCAAGCCAACTTTAATGACCTTTACATTCAAAGCACAAGAAAAACAACAACAAAAAACAAGGAAGGAAAAACAAAAGACAAAGAAAAAAGAAAAAAACAAATAAAATAAAAAGACACCACACCACCATAACATAATTTGAAACAATTTATCATTAAAAAGAAAAATAAATTCTCAGCCAATTATGACTAAATAAGTCTGATAATTAACTTCCTTAGCATTAAACATGTAACTTTGTAGACAATTTTTACTAAATAAACAAAAAAACAGCACACACACAGGTGACACCTTATAAATGTCTAAAGTACTAAAAAGTATTTGTTTCATTGCCAATTTCATTGATACATTAAAAAAACTGGATTTATCATCCAGTATATTTGCTACCTGCAACACATGAATATATGTTTAAGGTAACTGAGGGCCATAAATATGGATCAAGCCAGCCAAGGCTCAAACTTGATAGCAATGCTCTTTAAGGCTAACCTGTTAAGAGGTAGCTCTACAGCAAATGCCTGACACCACGAGTAATTGGTTCTTTATTAAAATTTATGAAATCCAATCAGTTTTCAGATTGTTTTACAAGAAATTTTGGAATAAAGCAAAAAATTTATGTCTCATCCACAAACAATAGGAAAACAAATGGTTCTTTTAGGAGAGCAAATGCTTTTGTAATTTGTATAATTCTTACAATAGATTTCTGCTTTAAATAACCCAAAATAGGTTGATAAGCTGTAATAAAAAAAAAAAAAAAAAAAATTATTCATTTGAAGGTTTAAATATTTTGAGAAGAGCACATGTTCATAAATAAAGGACCATGAAGAAAATGCAGCATTATGTCAAATTTTTATTAAAAATGGACCTGATTATGAAGAAAACATTGGCCAAATGATTAAAGTGAGTGTAGTGATATCAGTGTCAGCTGTTGTTAATTGGAAACACCTGATCTGTCACAAAAATTGTTTCAGACATTTATTGTCCTGATGCTTATCAACTAAGTGAAGAGTCATGGTAAATGAACCTGACAAAGAAAGTCACTGAATGAAGCCAGATCTCAATATATTACTTTTTTTTTTTAGACAAAGATAATATGACAAAGAACAATTGTCTCTATAAGACAGTGGTCACTATGACAGAGAGGCAAGGGATCGTCTTGCTGCAATGCTACTGGATTAGACTGTTCACCTCCCCTCGCCTATGATTCATCTCTGTCTCACTCATCTATAGCAGTTGGTTACAACCAGAATAACAATTTGTTTATTGCTACACGAGTATGATTTTTATTCCATGGAAAACAACCTGGCCAAAGAAGCCACAAGTGTTTGATTGGAAGAAGCTGTGCCCTGAGAATGAACCTGGTGTCTGGTCCTAGTTACCCAAAATATCACAGAATGAAATGAGGAAATACAATACCAGGAAGAAAAATAATAATGGAAATGACACCCACCCACTGAAGCATGAAATTGTGACATTAAACAAAGAAACATAATGGATGCCAACAGACAACCTTAATAACCCATAAAAAAAAAAACAATTTTGATAATATGGTTTAATAACGCATAAAAAAAAAAAAAAAAAAAAAAACAAAAAAAAAACAACATTTTGATAATATGGCTTATGAAATCCAAAACAGCTTGAAAGACCTTGAACAATCTATGTTCGAACATTGCCCAGAAATAATAAAAATGGCCTGAACTGATGAAAAAAAAAAAACTGAGTGAGAAAAAGAATCTTAGACAAAAGTGCTTTTGTTGGTTTTCAACCAAATGTATACACACACACACGAGAGGGGGGGGGGAGAAGTTGAGGTTAGTAGGTTGCTAATGATATCTCCTTAGTCAGGTCTTATGTAACAGTTTTTTTTAAGCTGCTGCATACAATACTCTTTAATACATGCTGGTCATTTTGCCAGCACCAGTGCATTAAAAAAAAAAAAAAAGAAAAGTAAAGTTGTTTAGGTAGGAACGATTGGTTGCTTGTTCCAGTAATCATTTGTATTCACTACAAAACTGTCATTTTTCTTTTTTTTTTTTTTTTTTTAACCTTCTTAAAATTTGCAAAATGGATGTGACTGTAGCTTTGTCACCACTACACAGAGACAAAGACCTGGATAAAAGAAATTAAAATAAATTTATTGAAGAGCGAAACGGGCCTTAGGATTATCTTTTTCTTAAAGAAAAAGAAAAAAAAAAGTATGAAATTAAAATGGAAGAATTTAATGTAATTTTTTTGTTTTTGCTTTTCTACTAAATGCACAAGAT